CATGCGTAACTGTGAGTCAAGTAAACATCTGTCCTTTATAAATTATTCACTCTCAGCCAGGGGCGGTGGCTCATGTCTGTAATCCCAGCACTCCCGCCAAGACAGGCAGATCACTTGAGGTCGGGAGTTCGAGACCAGCCTGACCAACATGGAGAAACCCTGTCTCTACTAAAAATACAAAATTACCGAGGCATGGTGGCGCATGCCTGTAATCCCAGCTACTTCGGGGGCTGAGGCAGGAGAATTGCTTGAACCCGTGAGGCAAAGGTTGCAGTGAGCTGAGATCACGCCATTGCAGTCTAGCCTGGGCAACAAAGAGTGAAACTCCATCTCAAAAAAAAAAAAAAAAAAAATTACCCAGTCTCTTCTAGTATCTTTATGACAGTGTGAGAACTGACAAATACATAGACTTAATGGAGAAAAATAAAGAAAAGATTAGAGTGAGAAGAATCTTCTATTGTTAAGATTGTCAAATTTTAGATTAAAATATTAAATTGGATACCTACATGTTTAGGTATCCAAAACTAAAAATGCTCTCTTTCTTTTCTTTCAAATTCTTTTATACTTGTCATATTCATTTAAGGTAATATGGACATATTTCTCAGCTTAAAAGAAGCTCTGAAACTTGACATAAAACGCTGATGATCCTGTAGAATGCACAGCAATTTCTTTAATGTTCTTTCTTTCACCTATAATTGACTTTTTATTCAGCTTTCATATTTCTGTGCTAGGAAGAAAACTGTAATTTCACTTTATTTCTCACATGATCTAGGATGTTCCTTTTTTTCCCATTAAGTCTGGCTTCTTCATGTATAACTTCACTTGTTAGTGAGTTTTTTTATATATATAACAAGAATGAAAGAAATTATATAAGTTATAGTGGATAGTTACTGCCAATCTCCATTCTGTCATTTTTATTAATAAAAATAAATTCCTTTAGGATAAGAATAAGTGCTTCCCAAGTAGTTATTTATTCATTCTTTAATACCTATGAAGTTTTAAAGCCAGAATAATCTCACCTTCACTGAAAATTTTTTTAACTTTTGTATAGCTACTTAAAAATCAAAGGAATAAACTTTCAGACAAAAAAGAAAAAAAAAAGAGACAATCAGTAAGTGGAAACAGATTTTTTTTTTTTTAAACCAAGGAACAGATGTCGATCTCAAGTTTTAACCACGTTTGCCTCACTACACTATTTAAGAATGAGCAATCACTACAATTTTTCTTAAAATCGTTTTATTGTATATGAAATAGTTTTGCTAAAACCAGAGTAAGCTTCTGAGAGTGAAAAATGAGAGATTTTGAAAGCTACACTTTTATTTATTTATTTATTTATTTAATTTTATTTTATTTTTTAATTTATTTTTATTTTTTGAGACAGAATCTCACTTTGTTGCCCAGGCTGGAGTGCAGTGGTGCGATCTCAGCTCATTGCAAACCCTGCCTCCAGTGTTCAAGCAATTCTCCTGCCCTGACCTCCCAAGTAGCCGGGATTACAGGTGCAGGCCACCATGCCCGGCTAATTTTTGTATTTTTAGTAGAGACAGGGTTTCGCCATGTTGGCCAGGCTGGTCTCGAACTCCTGACCTCAAATTATCCACCTCCCAAGGTGCTGGGATCACAGGAGTGAGCCACTGCACCTGGCTGAAAGTTACATTGTTTAGAACTCTCCTATTAATACTGAAACAAAATGAAAACACTAAACAGTAGACCATTGCAAGTACTTTTCACTGAGTGAAATGGGGAGCTAGTTCAGGATTTTTAGACAGAAGAATGGCATGCCTTGACTGATATTTTAAAGAGATGACTTTAGCTGTTGTGCAAGAACTATGAAGGTGTAAGAGAAGTAGGGAGACCATTATAAAGCTATTGTGGTATAGAGTGGAGAGATGATGGTTGTTTAGACCATTGAAGGTGATGAGAACATACTCTGGATATGTTTTGAGAAGAGTGCCATTAAGATTTTCTGAACATAGGGTCTGAAATGAGATTCAGGCTAAGGATTTTGATCTAAACAACCAGAATTAGAATTGACCATCCAGAGTCGCCATCCATGGTTGGAGTGGTTTGAAATGTAAGATCAGAAATTTAGTTTAGGATATATTGATTCTGTAAGTGTGGAGTTTGTGACTGATGCCTGGGTTGGTGATATAAATTTGGGAGCTGTTGACATTTAAATTGTATTTAAAGGTATACAACTATAAGAGAAAAGTGAGGGAATAATGACGCATACAACAGAGAAGAGAGTTAAGGGCTAAGATCAGAATCAGTCTGGGAGAAGAAAAGGACATGGAGAACAAATGGCCAGTGAGGTAAGAGTCAGCCATGTGGAAAGCAAATTTTAAGATGGAGGGTGAGATCAACAGTGCCAAAAGCTTCTGATAGGTCGTGTAAGATGAAGATTGAGAAACAAACATTGGATTCAGCCATGAAGTTTACTGGTGACAATTTCAGTGGAGTAGAAGTGATGAAAGCCTGATTGGAGTATATTATAGAGCTGAGAAAAAAAAAACTTGAATAAAGTGAATATAGACAGTTATTCGGAAGGTGTCACTACAAAGCAGAGAAAAGAAATGGGGTAGCTGCTGGCAGGAAGATGGAGTAGAATAGAGGTTGTTATTATTTTATTTCTTAACTTAAAACTTGAATACTATTCATGGGATGTAAATACTCTTGTCGAGATTTTATATGTTGTAAGAAAAAGTATGTAAGTCATAGTGAAACCATCAGCTTAGGAGTCCCAGTGGGTCTAAATGCTAGCTCTGACACTTTCTGTTTGTGGGGACTGGTCCAACTTAATCAGTAAGGGTCAGAACTAGCATTCAAATTTTTTTCTTTGAAATTGAGCTTTGAATTAGATTTTTATCTTGAATTACCTATATGACGGCATAAGTGTGTTGAAAATAAATCTGATGTTTTAAAACAACCAGAAATTACTTTTAATTAAATCAGAAGAATAATTTTAGGGATTGAGCAGATTAACAGTTTTTTGTTTTTTGTTTTTTTTTTTTAGACTTGCTCTGAAGCCCAGGGTGGAGTGATTTCGGCTCATTGCAACCTCTGCCTCCTGGGTTCGAGCAAGTCTCCTACCTTAGCCTCCCGTGTGGCTAGGATTACAAGTGTGAGCCATCATGCCCAGCTAATTTTTATATTTTTAGTACAGATGAAGTTTCACCATGTTGGCCAGACTGGTTTCAAACTTCTGACCTCAAGTGATCCATCTGCCTCAGCCTCCCAAAGTGTTGGGATTATAGGAATGAGCTGCCACACCTGGCTTGGTTAGTAACTTTTTAAAGGAGTCACTTGTTATACAAAATTTATTAATTTGCCCAATAACACTTATGGGACTCTTTGTCTGGTGCTGTTTTAGCTGATGGCGACTAAATCAATTTTTTTTTTTTTAAAACAATCTTTGTATCATTTGGTAGGAGCATATATAAATCTACACAAACAATAGGTACCATAAGAGAAATTTACAGGTTACACGAAGCAAGGGAAGAAAAGATGGACAATTTTGCCCAATGATACAGGAAGGGTTTACACAGGCAGTAATAGATGCATCCTGAAAGATAATTACGTATTTCCCAGATGGGCGAGTGGAACACTGTGTTCCTGACGCATGGAGGATCCCTGGCAGAGGCCTGACTTCTCAGTTCATAGTTAGGGTAAGTAGATCAGATGCAAAGAATGACTGGTGGATAGTCAAGGGATAGTTAGGGTAAGTAGATAAGATGCCAATGACTGGTGGATAGCAAGAACAGGGAATGGGGTTAATTCTAGAGGTAAAGATGCAGATATAGGTAGGGGCCACACCACAAAAGGCCTTGTGTGCTTTGCTAAATGATTTGTACTTTGCCTTATAAGAATTGGAGAGCTACTGAAAAATTTTACAAGCAGAGTTGATTCTATGAAAGAAAAAGGGATATTATTATTGAATGTCAGGTCTTTGGTCAAAGGAATAAAGAACCTTACCCAAAGAAGGGGAGATAGAGATTGTCATGGTCCTATAAGAAGGCAGATTTAGCTTGGAATGGGAGGGGCCATGAAGTATGTGAGAATTGAAGGTCACGTGCCATGTTTCAGGATACAGTCTCCATTGATTGTGGTAAGAGTAAGAGTAGAATAGATGGTGCGATCTAACATCATCCTCTTCTACAAATTCTGACACGTATTTATTAATGGAAAAGCATCATACTGGGAGTCAAATTATCTTTTAAGAAAGCCAGATCATCTGAAAGAGCTGAGGGGAAGAAGGCTGGGGAATTTTCTTCTGCTTGAGGTGAGAAGAATATTGATCTGAGTGAAGCAATAGAGACTGCAGGGAAATGACTGGCAGAGCAGTGAGGAAATGCAGCAGTAACCATGGAAAAGCTGTGAATGAGGCTGATGAGCCATCTGGGGATCTGAGTAAAGGGAGGGTTTAAGTTGGGTGCGGAGAGCAAAAAAGTGGAGAAAGACAGTGATAATGTTAGGAAGGTACTTTATCTTCTTGATTTAACAAATCTTTACAGAAGAAGGAAGTGGGAGTCAGTCACCCCAAATTAAGCTTACACATATATAGATGTTTATTGTCAAAAAACTTGATTGTTTAAATAAATTTGTACTTCAGTGAGAAAATTGAGAAAATGGAGATTACCCACATTATCAGGAGGGCTATCTTTTCTTTGTTATACCTGGACTCCCTCCACTCCTGCCTCAAAGAGAGCATATTCCTGATATGCACAGTGTGTGAATGATTAATAAGTCTTCTTCTTTTTTCAATTTCTCTTTTTTCTCAGTTCAATAATGTGAATTGGACACTTGTCTAGGTTTGTAAATGGACTTTTAATCAGTTGAATTGAACAGTCAGTTATCTGTTATCCCTAGCATATTTATCACACTACTGAATCAAATCAACTGGCAGCATATTTTTTAATCATATCCTTTGCTTTTTAAAAAAAGGGGGGAAAAGCTGACCTTTATTAGATAAATAATCCAGACAGAGTAAAGATTAAACTTACGTTTCATTCCAATTGACCAAGAAAAAAAATAACTTCTTGACTGGAATATTTCTGTAGTTTCTCACTTGGCACAGCTTCTTTCCAGCATATGTAAGCCAACAGGTAAAAGAAAATGCTTTGTAGCTAAAAAGAAACAACATCAATTCAATATGCTTAGCATTTTAAAGAAACCAGCTTTCTATATGGGTCAATTATTTTTGTAGTCAAAAGTCAAATGATAAAGTGATGTTTGCTTGCATAAAGCATGCTTTAAAAATTGCTTTAAGAATTTATGCTGGGTATGTCAACAAGACTGTGGAATAGGAGGCCCTAAGACCTTCCTTTAATCATGGAGAGCAAACTTCAACAATATGCTGACTGATTCCTTTTGTAAGAAAACCAGAAACCAGTTAAGAGGCTCCTGTATCCCAGGTGAATTCAAAACCAGCCACGTCAAAGTTGGTAGAAAAATTTGTGGCACTCACTTACCAGAGCCTCTTCCCTGGCACAGGGTGGCATGATCAGAAAGAAACTCTCAACTTCTGGCTTCCCATCAAGGAGGGAAAGAGAATATGGGAACATACATCTAACACTTAGACTTAGTACCATCAAGGCTACCCAAGGAACTAGCTTTTGTCTTTCCTGGATATAAATGCTGACAGGAAATGTCACCAGTTTAGGGGCCACTGAAAACAAAGATGATGGTTTTTACTAACACATACTTGCTATTGCTTCTCTCCATAACTCAGCATAGAATGATTTTTTAAAAAACTGCAATTTATGGCTTCTCCTTGGGTAGGAAAAGAGTTGATTCGTGTGTCTATCATTCCAGTTTTGGGGCTACTATCAGAAGGACTAGTTTCTGTCTTGTCTGTCTTGGAGCACTGACAGGACCCTGCATACCCTAGAGGCCTGGAGACTGTTGAGAACAAAAAAAAGTTGGGCGGCTTCTTATTGTTCCAGATGTCCTATGATACATTGGACAAAGCCTGTATACCTTGTCAGCCTCTCCCTGGTCAGGGAAAATGATGGGGAATAAAGGAGCATATGTCCAACACTCCAGCTTTTAAAGAGTTTGCCTGAGGGACTGGTTTCTGTCTTATCAACTAGGAAGCACGTGGACGGGATGCAGGCATACTTTAGAAGGACCACAGTCCATGAAAACAAAAATCTGAATACGCGTCACAGCAAATTTCTCCAGAGCAACCCTGCAGTACCACCAGGACAGACACCAGAAGAGCAAGAAACATGACATCCCAAGAGAAGGAACCAGCAATCCCTGGTATTGCGAATTTATAAGTTACACAGCAGCATGAAGACGCCACTCATATAAAAAGTTTGGAAGGCACCCGAATCCTAGCCAGCTTATTTTTTGAAAGCTTTTTTTTTTTTTTTCAGTATGAAGCCAGGACCATAAAGGACTGAGAGAGTTAGCTGTTTTTTGCAAATGCACAGATCTTCAACACAAGGTCATAAGGGCACACAGGAACAGGGATCATGGCCTAGCCAAAGAAATAAGGAACAAACAATAACCAATTCCTAAAGAAATAAAGATATACACATTACAATGACAAATAATTCAAAATAACCATTATAAGAGTACCTAATGAAAAATTAATGGGGATGATTAAAATGAGAATACCAACAAAGATATAAAAGATTATACAATAAACCAAATAAGAATTTTCGAGCTAAAGGATCCCATAGCCTGGTTGAAAAAGTGTACTAAAGAGATTTCTGAGGCAGACTTCATAAAGCAGAGGAGATAATTCAGATGAACTTGAGACAGGTTATCTGGAAATTATCCAGCCAGAGAACCAAAATGGAAAACAACATACACAACAACAACAAAACCCCACACTGAACTGAAGAAAGCAAGGGAATATAGGCACATCAAGGCAGCCGCAATTAATTCAATGTTCATTATGGGATTTTCAGCAGAAAGAAAAAAAGAAAAAAAAGCAGAGGAAAGCGCTTCATTTTGAAAAAGTGTACGTGCGTCAAAAACTTCCTAAATTTGGGGGGGAAAGAAAATGGACATCAGATTCAGGGGAAGGCCCCACTGGGATGCCTAACTATGAAACCCAAAGAAACCCCAAAAAAACCCCACAGGGACATATTAGATCAAATTATAAAGTCCAAAGAAGAAAAACGACAATTTCACAAGCAGCTAGAGAAAGTGGACAATCATGTATAAGAGAACATTCCATAAGATTGATTAGTGGTACTTTACAAGCAGAAACTTTGTTAGCCAGAAGGGGAGGAGAATAATAATTCACGTATGCTGAAAGAAAAACAAAACTGGTCATTAAAGATAACTATATTGATAAAATCATCCTTAAAACAATGGAAAGAGAAATACTTTATGACGATGGATAAAAGCTGAGGGAGTTCCTCACTACAAGGCCTGGTTTATAAGAAATGCTAAACACTGTCCTTCAAATTGAAGTTGAAACAATGGCTATTAGAGAAACACAAAAGCATCTAAAAATATAAAACTCACTGGAAAAAGGGTAATATATATGACAATACGCAATACTGTAATCGTGCTAAATAAATTACTTTTGAACTCTGGTATAGCATTTAAAAGATAAAGTACAAAATAGCTACAACAATATATTAATGGAGATGTAAATTAAAAGATGGTAATTTGTAACATCAATAACATAAAAGTGTGGGTGGGGACGGAGAAATAAAGCACAGAGTTTTCATATATGATTGAATTTAAGTTAACAGTTAAAGAAGGTTGTTATAAATACAAGTATTTTGTATTAGGACTCATCGGTGGAACACAAAATGAAACCTGTGGAAGATACACAAAAAATAAACAAAGAAAAATCACAAACATGTCATACAAAAAAATCCAAGCAAGTCATTACCAAAAAAAAAAAAAAAAAAAATCTAATGAACACTAAAAAACACAACCAGAGAGGCAAGAAGACAAAGAAGCTACAGGACAGAAAACAATTGACAAAAGTGGTAATAGTATAAGTCCTTTACTATCAATTACTTTAAAAGAAATAGGATTAAATTCCCCAATCAAAAGACATTATCCATTTAACCAACAGCATGGCTAAAGGGACAAAAAGTATGTAAGAGCAACTAGATGCTACTCACAAAACCCTGCATTTAGATTTAAGGACACAAATAGGTCAAAAATGAAAGGATAAAATAGCTATTCTATGCAAATAGTAACCAAGGGGGAGCAGCGGGTGGCTACGCTTTAACCACGAAAGCCAAGTGTAAGTAAAAAACTGTAACAAGAGAAAAGAAGGAATTATATAATGACAAAAAGGGTAAATTGGACCAGGAAAGATACAAGAATTTTAAATATATCCGCACCAACATCAGAACACCAATATATAAGCAACTATCTGAATCCAACATATAATGCATTGACAGAGCTGAGAAGGAACAGACAGCAATACAATAATACTAGACATCATAACCCACTTTTATAAGTAGAACATCCGATAGAGGGTAAGAACAGAGGATTAGAACAACACTATAGGCCAAATGGACCTACAAGATATATGGCAGAACATTCTACTCAGCAGGAGCAGAATACATATTCTTCTGAAGCAAACAGGAACACCCTCCAGGGTAGATGGCATATTAGGTCACAAAAAAAATCTCAACAAATTTAAGAAAATTGAAATAATATTCAAGCTAGCTTTTCTGACCACAGAGAATGAAATTCAAAATCACAGCAGAAAGAAATCTGGAAAATTCACAAATAGGTGGAAATTAAACAACACACTCTGGCAAAACCAACGGTTCAAAGAAGAAATCAAAAGGGCAATTACAAAACATCTCAGAATTGGCAGTGCTTACAGCTTCAGCTTGAGGAGAGTATCCTGACCAGGTGCAGTGGCTGCCATTGAGATCCACCTGAGATCTTTTGCCTCCAGCCTTTCAGCACTCCCAGGCTGCAGCTCCTGCACCTGTTCAGCTTGCTCACTCGCCCTACCTTCCCTGTAGCCTGCTGCACCATGGAGTTGGCATTAGTGGCACCAGTGGCAGTTGAGCTGGTCTGCAGCAGCAGGTACCAACATTTATAGAATGAAGAAGAACCTGAGGAACCTGAGAAGGCTTCAGGTGAGGTTCCTCCATCTTATGGCATCAACTCTGCAGAGAGTATGGTGTATTTGACTACAATCATGAGTCTAATTTTCCAAAGCTCCTATTTTACAATGTGGTTGTAAACGTTACCAATTTATAATCAAGTCATGAGAATTAAGGCTGAAGCTATTTCTTTGGTTTCTGGAAGAGATGAGGATTTTGTGGGACGGGATGATTTTGATGATGCTGACCAGCTGAGGATAGGAATTTTTTTTTTTTTTTTTTTTTGGTTAACTTTTTCCTGGCATTCCTCTTAACTGGATTAAGTTTTTTCCTGTCTTTTTGCCTGACTGCTTCAGTGGCAGGAAGGTATGACACCCATTTCAGAATTTGGTCTCTTTCTAATTAAGTGGGTCCTGAGAGTCAGATTTCTAACCTGTTTTCCTTGATACGTTCATGGTCAGCACTGCTGCCGTGAGATGAACCAAATGCTGAGTTAAGATGTCCTATCCAATGTGATGATCATAAATTATTAGACATCTTGGGGTAAAAATGATCTCAAATTATCCTTACATTTTAAATGGATAAGAATCCCAGTTTGCTGGCATAAAGCCAAGTGTGGGATGCAAGTGCCTAGCGGACCACTTCTGGTAAGCAGAACTGGTGAATGTTAGTTTGGTAAAGAAACTAAACCTAAAGTTAGCAGAAGAAAAGACGTAATAAATATGAGAGCAGAAAAAAATGGAATACAGAATATTAAAAATAGAACTACCATATAATCCAGCAGTCCTACTTCTGGGTGTTTATCCAAAAGAACTGAATTAAGATCTTGAAGAGCTATCTGAACTCCCATGTTCGTTTCAACATTGTTCATAGTAGCCATGATGTAGAAAGAATCTAAATGTCCACCAGTGGGTGAATAAAGAGAACATGGTATATACATACAATGATATAGTATTCAATCTTGACAAAGAAGAAAATCCTGTCATAATACAACATGGATGAATATTAAGGACATTATGCTAAGTGAAATAAGCCAATCACAGAAAGACAAATACTAAATATACCACTTTATGGAAGCA